AATCACGGCTGCGTTCGCATGGCAGTCATGGCTTTGTCCATGTCGGAATTCATATTTTGAAGTATTAAGGCAAGCCACAGCTCTGCCCAGGATCTCATGAAAAACGTTTGAGTCAAATATTAACATGTACGATATGCATATGATGAACATGAACAGCATAAGAAGTCATGCTTAATCAGGCTCTGCAGCATTGTAACATTTCCAGATTTGTTTTGCTTCTTGCCAGAGAAGGTAGTGGCTACTACTGCACATCTGGCCGCTCGGCGTACGGAATCTGCCAGCCATTGGTGGCGGTAGGTGTCTGGAGAAGGCGGCCGTGAGGGCTGGCTGATGCAGCTCAGCTACCCGGCGGGCCATGTCGTGGTGCCAACTGGGCCTCTGAGCTGGTCAGTGTTTCGGTTACCGAAGATTGGTGACCGTCTCCAGGTTCGATTTCTGGTCGAGTTTGAGGTTCGTTAGCGCTCGTCGTCGCCTGACGCGGACCCGACGTTGATCGTCGTACAATTGTATATCCTGTGTCTGAGCATAGGCAAATGGAGTCCAGCCAGCTTCCTCTTATCTCTTCAGTAGCATTGGGGCTCCGATGTCCCACAACTTTTCTAAACTGTCTGAGAATTTCAGCTCTGCCTTGGCCTGTATTATCGACTCGTTTTGCTCTTCGGCAGCGAGATGTGCCCTTCCCACAGTATTTCGATTTTTCTGTCATCATTCGTTCCCTTTACCGTCTGCACACACAACATGCTTCCAAGCTTCAGAACGTTTTCCAATTTTGATTTGAACGCGGCGTTCTTGTCGGAACCTCCTTGGTGGGTGTGGAAAAAGTGCTTGAAAGCTTCTCGTCTGGCTGGCAATCTGGCGCTCACGATCAAGGTCATTGCAATCTGCCCTAACCAATTGAGGATGCGTCTATGGGTGTCCGTTAAGACCTTGTGGGTTTTTCTTTCGCCCGGCGCCTTTGCAGAATTGGAGGTTTTCGTGGCCCTTCTCCCGGGAACGTGATGGTGTTAATGTGCCGTGCTATCATCTACCTATTGCTCCGAGATGTTACTCAAATAGTTATTCTAGTCCACCTTCCCACCTATTTTAGGCCCACCGGTCTGTTCAATCTCCTGAACCCAATCGAACTGGCCAGCCAGTAATTGGTCTCAGAATTAACTCATGTGAACGCTACCAAAAATTGCCGAAACGCAGAAACGGCTTGAGGCACTGAGAACCTATCGTTGACCTCATACGCGCATCGCAATCTTAGCAGCGTTCCGTGAGTTTCTTCCTCGCTACGCGGGTCAACGTTTTCCGCCAGTGAGAGACACCCACTCAAGTGAACCCTGTGCTCAGACCAGCGGCGGTGGTATGGCGGCCGCCAACGAAGTCGACCAATGCGGATCACTTTTCGATAACGGGAGGGAGGGGGGGGGGGGGTGGAGAAACCCGGACTGAACAGGCCGGACAAAGGCCTGACTAGTTTTGTATGACTTATGGTACACCACTTGTTTTGCAGCTTTGTTTTGCGTGAGTGCTGATGGCAAGAACTTGGCTGGTTCTTGGATATCGATTTTACTATTTCGATTCCTCCCCTGATGACTGGCCGGTCGTTCGTGATCCTGTTTTGCTGGGGCTGCCGGGTATAGTTCTCCCCTCATTGCTCACCATGCTAGTTGTTTGTCGTCGTATCAGATCAGTTACTTATGCGTTTTCATCAGTCGTCGAACAGAGGACGCTTGCTCCCAACGCGGTGGCATGGGCTGGTGCACCGCCCCATAGAGCACCCATACGTATAACGCTGATTTATTTTCACGGACGGTGACCCCCATATATAACGTCTTGGCGCCGTCGCGCATTGGCCATTGTCATGGGCAAGAAGACTGAATACCCTGTAGTTGCGTGCTATTGCCTTTGTGGCTATTGGCCATAGGGTAAAGCTACATTAAGAACTATCTGAATCATAAAGTAACATGAGGTGCCTAAATGCACTAATTGCATTTCATTTGCTAAATTTAGCCCGTCGAAGGCCGCCTGCACGGGCTTTGATGGACACCTGATGAAGATTTACGAAAGCTCTCAGATGCTCTTTCCCACGAGTTCAAAGTGTGATTTGTCTTCGTGATAGCTGATACGGTGCTACGACCGGCAAGTCTGACTCAAGCCGCCTGTCTGACGGCCGGTGATCAGCCGTCATGTGTGCACTCTGCTCCACCCCGTGCCATTGCGTGCCTCGCCCCCCCCCCCCCCTTTCGCGGACCAATGCGTCAAGTTGGATCATTGCCGTGTCTGAATTAATGAAGAAACCTCACGAGAAGTGCAGCTGTGGTCGTCAAATGTCAGGCGGTGAGATAACCGGCAGCGCGGCCGTGGAGTGCTCACTGCGCCACCCGTCGGCGGATCGCGTCGCGTGAATCGCTGGGCTGATGTCAGCGGAGGGCAGGCCGCACCGAGGTACGGTCGTTCGGAGCTGGACTGGCGGCTGTGGCCGTGGAGTGCTCACTGCGCCACCCGTCGGCGGATCGCGTCGCGTGAATCGATCGGCTGATGTCAGCGGAGGGCAGGCCGCACCGAGGTACGGTCGTTCGGAGCTGGACTGGCGGCTGTGGCCGTGGTCTGCGCCGGCGGCGAGTCCAGCCGAGGAGAGTGTGACCGCCGGCAGGACGTCTGTCAACCTGTCGGCCAGAGTGCCGCGCCAGGTCGGAGCTCGTCTGTCCGCCAACTCGGCTGATGGGGTGGAGGGGATGGATGTACACGCGCCCGGCGGCAGGCCTGCACTCTGTGACGAGATGCCGGGAAGTGAGCGCTATTCATAGCCGGGGCTGTGATGACGTGCCGGACGGCTGGCCGGGGGCCGCGGAGCTGGCGGGGGGCGCCCGCGCGGCCCGCCGCAGTGCCGGAATGCGGCGCCGCCGGCCGCCGGCCGCCGGCCGCCGGCCAGACGGCGCGGAGCCGGGCCGGGCCGGGCCGCGTCACCGGCACCGCCGCGGCTCGGCCGCTGCTGACTGGGCCCCGGCCGGGCGTCGTGTCCAGCGTCGCTCCGTTGTTGCTATGGTCAGGTGAGGGCAGGCTGCAGGGGAGGTGTCGTGCCGGTCCCGCTCTGCAGACTTGCTCAGCCGGGCTGCTGCACAGCGCCGACTCCCGCCGCCCGGCCGCAGCTTCGTCACGCTCCCCGCGCGGCGGCGCCTTCAAAGGCGTGCAAGGCCGGGCGTTCGCCACCGGCAGGATCTGGCGAACCGGCGCTGGGGGGGGGGGGGGGAGAGGGCTTAGGGGAGGGGTGCTGTTTAGGGGGCTCCGGTGCGGCGGCGTGGCCATGAGCGCCCGATACGACACGGCGCCCGGTTCTCGGTAAAGCCGGGCCCTGCACGGCGGCGATAAGGGGCGGACGTTGCTCGGGCCATTGCGGCCGCTGCACTGCCCGGAGGGCGGCATGACGAGCTGTTGGCTGTAGCGTATCGCGGCGGACGGGGTGCCATTCGACAGGGTCACGCCCCGCCGGGCCTCGCCGCCTGCCGCTCGTAGTGTTGTCTGGTGTCATGAGAGCGGCTGAAGAACAACGCTCTGTTGGCGTCCTTCAGGTTTTCCAGTATCGTGCAATGCTCGGTTCACTGCGATGTGCTGAGCAAGGTCCATTACCACATCAGTAATATATGAGATGAAAGGGTTTCGTAGAATCCGAAAATGCGCATTTTTCTACCTGAGAGTCGCGCAGCATATGTCGCTTGAAAATTCTCAAAAGTTGTAGGATACTGAGTTTTTCCCAGTTTTTTCGCATGATCCTGAACGATGAAAGTAACTGGACAGCTTTTATGGTGTATGTATGCGCTTGGCCACGTCGGGGGTCTCAGTCGCTCATGGGTCATAGTCGCACATGACCATCGCGTAGAGCAAGATGTATGGCCTGCTCTGTGCTGTTTTTCGGTAGCTGCCGTTTAGCGTCACCGTATTTGTCCCGTTGTCCCGCTCATTCAGGCGAAACAGTTTTATAAATAATAGCCGTGCATTGCTCAAGGGTGCTACTCAGGGCACAGGGGGACCTGGAGTTGTTTCTGGCAGGGAGCGGCTCGTGTTACCAAGCGGGCCGTTTCCTCCGTGATCACGTCATGCTAGACGTCGATGTCAAACAAAAGAAAGCGTCAGTGCAATAGAGAGAAGGAAAAAATGTCAAAAAGTATTCGGGAGTTTCGGGGCAGTCAGGCCTGGTGTAGCGTCGTCTATGGCGCCATCGGCCCGTGCACGTATCGGTGTTGCTTGTCGCCGCTCGGCCGCGGCCGCTGGTGTGCTCAGATGCGTGGCGATTGTGTGCTCTGGCCGGTGTACCAAGTCCGCTCAGGACTGACGACAACAAACAGCCGGCCCGCCAGCTCACCTTGATTGCACACACGATAACCTTGGCTGCGCTGTGATGCGCACGTCTTCTGGCCCTCCGTGCTGACCCGTCCTACCCTCTGTGCTGACCTGTCCGGCCCTCCATGCTGGCTTGTCCTGCCCTCCTTGCTGACCTGTCCTGCCATCCGTGCTGGCCCGTCTGGCTCTCCGCGCTGACCCGTCCGGCCCTCCGTGCTGACCTGTCCGGTTCTCCGTGCTGACCTGTCCTGCCCTCCGTGCTGACCTGTCCGACTCTCCGTGCTGACCAGAGCGCGACCGTCAGTCGGCGGCGGTGCTGCGGTGTCGGTGTCGGTGTCAGTCGGCGGCGGTGCTGCGGTGTCTGGTGCTGTCGGTGTCGGTGTCGGTGTCGGTGTCAGTCGGCGGCGGTGCTGCGGTGTCTGGTGCTGTCGGTGTCGGTGTCAGTCGGCGGCGGTGCTGTCGGTGTCAGTGTCTGGTGCTGTCGGTGTCGGTGTCAGTCGGCGGCGGTGCCGTGGTGTCTGGTGCTGTCGGTGTCGGTGTCGGTGTCAGTCGGCGGCGGTGCTGCGGTGTCTGGGCCGCCGGCGCCGGGCTCGTCACGCTTGTCAGTGTCGTTTTAACCGGAGTGTTTGACATGGCCGCCGTGCTGACGCTGCGATTCCCTGTTTGCCCGGCAGTATGTGGGAGACGATTACGGCCAGGAGTCGCCCGGCCGGTACGGCTCCTACTTCGTGGATGGCCGCGGACCCAGCGCCGATCCGTGGAACTCGCAGTTCTCCGGCTACCCGCCAGGTGGCATGATGGGTGTGGTGCCGACGGCGTCCCCACATTATGGCATAGCGTCCGTGGCGGATAATATGGTGAGATCCCAACCAGATGTCGGCATGCAGCGTTCACAATGTTGCACGATAATGCGAACATCAACTGGAGGGACCCAAAGCAATGTGTCGAGCACTCCGACTATGTCGGCGGAAAAGACACTTAGCCTGAATGATACGCTGGTTGTGAACGCGTCAACAACCTAGCGATGCGCATGTCTTTGTTTTGTTGTTACCGCGCGGTGTGTTTGTTGTTACCACGCGGTATGTCGCCATGTTCCAATACCGAGCAGATAATGGCGATGCGTCGCCAGTAAGGCGCGTGGTGTGACGTGGGAGGAGCAAGGCGGTCCCAAACATCGGCGCCATCATCTTTGCATGGATATGGACCGTCTACAGCGGTGTGCCTTGACCCCTGACCCCTGCCCCCCCCCCCCCCCGTGTTGCCCTGCTGCCGCAGAGCTACGTGAACCTGGCGTCAGGCGGCGAGCTGGCGGCGGCAGCGGCATACCGCGGCCCGCCGGCCTCCACGCCGGGCCTGGCCGGCTCGCCGCTCTACAGTCCGCCGGCCGGACCTCCGCACGGCAACACGGGCGACACGCTCGGCCGCGCCCTGGCGTCGGTAAGCGACGCCGGCCGGCGGCGGCAGCCCCCGGATTTACACAGGCAAAGCACAGTTGCCCACGGCGGGATCATGCTGTGCGCTGAAACGGTGGCGGTTGGGCGGCCTTGCAACTCTGCTGATATGGTCGGTTTCCGGCTGCCAGGGTGTGGGTTCCTGAGGGAACGCCAGTGATATGGGGTGTTCATGGTATATTGGGTGTGAGAGGTAGTGAAGCTCACTACATTTGTGGGTGTTCGGCACGTTATAGAGCAAAGTAGAGCCACAGCATGGCGATAAGTGTTTTGCCGGATGTTGTCTTTGGTGGAGCTGTGCTAATGTGGAAGAGCCACGTTTCTCCAAGTTTTCTTCGATCGCATGGCATGGTTCGGCTCCAGAACGGGCGATCCAGCGGCCTGTCATAGCAGCGATCAAGGTCGTATTGTGTGCACCTCTGTGGCGCGTCGGCGGCGCCGCGGCGCGGCCCCGTGACGCGGAGCCCTGCCGGCTGCAGTGGCGGTCAGGACGCGGAGCCCTGCCGGCTGCAGTGGCGGTCCGGGCCGGCCTCGCTCTGCCTCTGTGAGGCGGCGGGTGACGGCCGCTTCGGTCTGTTGCAGATCTACTCTCCGGAGCAAGCCACTGGCGCCTTCGGTGGTCACCCACCGAGCACACCGGTGAGCAGTGCCCGCGTCTCGGACCCGTCCGGAATGCGCTGTCGTCGGCGGCCACCAGGACGCTCTGCCGTCCTACCGCCGGCCGCGGGCATCACTGGGCGTTACTGCCGGGCCCGAAGCGGGAGGTGGGCGGATGGGTTGCCCTCGACTCCAGCACGCCGACGACTGGTACGGGTTTTGACCCTCGCTCCGTCTCGTCCGGCAGAGTTCCCGAATGCCAGACGAGCAGCTAGACGACGCCATAGGGGTGCTCCGAGAGCACGTGCAGGTGAGTGGTGGGCCGGCCCGCCCACCCGCTCCGCCCTCCATCCTTCCCTCCCCACACACTCCAATTCAGTCTCCGTCAATGCCATGCCATCCCATGTTCAGTCCAGAGGGGGCCCGTCCTCGGTTGTCAGCGGATCCGAACTCATGCTTTTAGCGAAAGTACATCCCTGTGATTGACGAAGTTGTGAACCATGACGGGAGGTATCCGAGTTGAAAGTGGAGTTATTTGATGTCCGTGAAGTTAGCGATTTATTGAGCGATTTTTTAGCGACGAGTTGCGATTTCTCTGAAAAAGGGTCTGAAGGTTAATTGTGGTATGAGAACACAAAAAATAACCCTTATTTTGCAATGTCGTGCGACTTTCAAGGTCAAAAGCTGGGGCAAAGGACGGAGAACTCTATATCACGCAAAAACTGCCGGCCGATATCTAGCTTACAAACATCAAAATATTCACCACAGAAAGAACTAGCGTTCGTCAAAAAGTCCTGACCTTTCAAGGTCACCCTTCAAGGTCAAAGGTGGGCTCAACGGACGGGGAACTCCATATCATCCAGAAATTACCGGCCGTTTTTTAACTTACAAGCTTCAGAATATTCACCACAGCAAGAGCTAGCGTCCGTCAGAAAGTCCTGACCTCTCAAGGTCACCTTTCAAGTTCAAACGCGAGCTCAAAAGACGGGGAACTCCATATTACCCCAAAACGACCGGCTTATTTCAAGCTTACAAACGTCAGGATATTCACCACAGAAGGAACTAGCCTCCGTCAAAAAGTCCAGACCTGTCAAGGTCACCCTTTAGGGGCAAACGCGCAGAAGGGGGTGGCGTCCATCGAAAAGTTCTGACCTCTCAAGGCCACCCTTAAATGTCAAAGCCTTGAACGGACGCTGCATATTTCTGTGGTAGATATCATGATGCATGCAAGTTGAAAATTGGCCGGTGATTTTGGGGTGATGTGGAGCTCCCCATCCTCTGAGCCCACGTTTGTCCTTGAGGGAGGACTTTGAGAGGTCTGGACTTTTGACGGACGCTAGCTCTTTCTGTGGCAAGTATCCTGATGGATGTAAGTTTATATTCGGCCGGTTTTTTTGGGGCGATTTGGAGTTCCCCATCTTTTGAGCCCGCGTTTGACCTTCAAGGGTGGCCTTGAGAGGTCTGGACTTTTTGGCGGACGCTAGTTCTTTCTGTGGTGAATATTTTGATGTTTGTAAGTTAGATGTCGGCCGGTAATTTGTGGGTGATATGGAGTTCTCCATCTTTTGAGCCCGCGTTTGACCTTGAACGGAGATCTTGAGAGGTCAGGACTTTTTGACGGACGCTAGCTCTTTGTGTGGTGAATATTCTGATGTTTGTATGTGATAAATCGGCCGGTAATTTTTGGGTGATGTGTACTTGCCCGTCCTGTGAGCCCGCGTTTGACCTTGAAGGGTGACCCTGAGAGGTCTTGGCTTCTTGGCGGACGCTAGTTCTTTCTGCCGTGAATATTTTGATGTTCGTAAGTTAAAAATCCGCTGGTAATTTTTGGGTGATATGGAGCTCCCCGTCCTTCCAGCCCGCGTTTAACCTTGAAGTGTGACATTGAGAGGTCAGAACTTTTTGACGGACGCTAGCTCTTGCGTTTGTGAATGTTTTGATGCTCACGATTTTCAAATCGGTCGGTAGTTTTTGGGTACCGTCAAGTTCCTCGTCCTTTGACCCGGCTTTTGACCTTGAAGGTCACATGATGTTGCAAAATAAGTGCCATTTTGGGTATTATCACGCCACAATTGGCCTTGAGACCCTCTTTCAGAGAAATCGGAACTCGTCGCTGAAAAAACTCGCCGACTAAATCGCTAACTTCACGGACATAGTCATTTGTCCTTAATCTCAGGTCTACCGCATTTGAGCCTGCGCTGTGGCGACAATAGGCCCTATTGTGAACATTTATTACGAGTATTGTGTTGGCTGAATGTAAAAGGCGATAAACGCATGTAGGTTTATCACCATAGCCTGCACCTGGGCATATTTTCATCAATCCCAGAAAATGAGGGCACGCTTGGACGGAGCAGATTTACATTTTACACATGGCTGATCAGGCGGCACCAGCGTCACAGCGTGCCCGATGAGCGCCTCTCAGCACCCTCGTGGGATTCCAAACCCGTGAATGTAAAGGTCAGGAATCTCACGAGGCTGCTGAGGTCGCCGGGACTGGGGGGGGGGGGGGGGGGGGGGGGGGGGGGGGGGCGCTCCGTGGCCGATACGTGACGCAGTGAGCGCGTGGTCATCGGACGGACCGTATGGCGACGCGTGGCGCTGCTGCTTGTGCCGGTGCGTCTGGGCCGGCCGCTCAGCTGACGCTGCTGACGCCTCGCTGGGGTCTGGCCAGGTGGGCCGAATCGAGGAGCGCCTGGATGACGCGCTGATGGTGATGCGGAGCCACGCCGAGCCACCGCCGCCGCTGCCGCCCCCGCCGCCCCCGCCGCCGCCGCCGCCGCCCCACGGCGTGCCGCCGGCCGCCTCACATTCCAGCGGCCTGCTCTACATGGAGGCCGGCCTGCGAGTGCCCCATTACGGCCAGCTGGACTCACCCGCCGACCGGCTGCCCGCCACCAACACCAGTGAGTGGTGCACTTTCCTCCCTGCTGAGGGGACGGGTGTCCCGCCTCCAACACCAATTACTGTGGTACCCCGTGCTGCGTATCTGTCACTGGCACCAATTTCGCGTCTTACGGATCACAATTTTGTAATAGACTTCGAAGCCGCTGCTTGGGAGGTGAACGTTATAGAACCGCTCTCGACTATCATCGCCACGCAAGCGGGAGGCGCTTGTGTGATGCACTTCTAGTGTGACACACTCTCGCGTTATCTCGAGGAATACACCATACCCGGGATGTACGCGTGTAGAGCGCGTCTGGGACAGATGGTTGGACAGGCCCGATGAAGCGTGCCGGTCAGTGTTGGTGTGATCTGATGCGTCGCTGGGGCAGCCCCAGCGTGCAAGCGCCGGCCGGCTCCCTGGCGAGAGGCTGCTTCGAAGTGAGGTGCGTCTACCGGTCCGCTCTGCGCGCTCGGCCGTGCTGACCGCCCGGTCCTGTGTTTCCGTCGCAGAGAAGCGGAAAGAGGCGCCGGACAGCACGGAGCTGGCCGCCGCAATGTCAGCCGGCCAGCTAGGGCCGGCCGTCAGCCCCGCCGCCCCCGCCGCCTCCAAAAGCAAACGCTCCCGCAAATAGTGAGTGGCGTGCGCGACCCGGCTGGCCACGCCGTTGTAACTGATGTCCCGAGTCAAAACCACCAGCCATGCTACGAGAGCACTTCCATAGGGTCTGTTTGGTGTCATAGCGCTTCTGCGTCCATTGTCACCGCACATCTTGGCTGCGACATGGCTCCGGACGAACAGCAGGGAACATGCAATTCTTAGCGCTGGTGATGACCACGTGACCTGACCTCCGCGCTCCTCCTCGCTGCAGTGCGAGTGGCGGCAGCGGCGGCGGCCTGGGCGATGACGGCAGCGAAGACGAAGATTTGGACCCGGAGACCAAGCACCTGCGAGACACCCACCGGCGCAGCGCCAACAACGCCCGTGAGAGGTGGGCACCCTCCGTCGAGGGTGGCGCCGGCCGCCGAGCCGCTGCCCGGCCCCGGGCCGGCCGGCCGACCGCATTCGGCAACATCTCTTGCACGCGCATGACATTTGTTTTCTTTACCGTGGTGTTGCCTCTTCCTTGAGTTCTGGAGTTGCCGTGGCGTGTGGTGTTTCAGTCCCGGTATGCTTGGACTGCTCTCAGTTTGTTGGTCCTGCTCCGTGTGTTTGGTTTTCACTTCTTTCCTGACGGGTGCATCCGACCGTGCCCGGTGCGGTGTCTTCTGTTCGCTGCTCTGTCGGCTGCCGTGGTCCTACACGCTGTGGTGCCGTCCCGGCTTGCCTGACCCGGACCCGGACCCGCGGGGAAGCCTATGGCAGGCAGAGCCGCGCGCTCTGATTGGTGGATCACGGCCGCGACCGGCTGCTGTCCACAGGATCCGCGTCAGGGATATAAATGAGGCGTTCAAAGAGCTGGGTCGCATGGTGACGATGCACATGGCGGGTGACAAGTCGCAGACCAAGCTGGGAATCCTGCACCAGGCGGTGGGCCTCATCAGTCGACTGGAGGCGCAGGTCAGAGGTACGTGCACCGCTCACGGCGCGTCCCGGCCCCGCCCCCAGGGTGCGCATCCGCGACATCAACGAGGCGCTCAAGGAACTCGGCCACATGTGCATGACGCACATGAAGCAGGACAAGCCGCAGACCAAGCTGGGCATTCTCAACTTGGCCGTCGACGTCATTATGACGCTGGAACAGCAAGTGCGAGGTCAGGCCGACTCTCTCTCCTCCTCTCTCTCTCTCTCTCTCTCGCTCCTCTTCTCGTCAACTTCTCCCCTCCTCTTCTCTCTCCTCTGGCTCTCTCATCTCTCTCTCTCTCTCTCTCCTTCTCTCCTCCATCTCTCTCCTCTCTCTCTCTCTCTCTCTCCTCCGT